CAGCAAAAAACAAAAAAAAACACGGGTTCCGGGTTTAGGGCTTAGGGTTTGGGAGCTGGTGCATCATTTGGGGGACTTGGGGCTTGCAGAAATTCAGATTCCCAGAATGCATGTATGTGGGCTTGACGAAGGGTAACTAAGCATAGCCAAAGTTACAACTCCAATTAGAGCTACAAAACCCTTGAGCCTAACTAAAGCTCTCCATCACATACCACCAAACAGCAAGATCCTCTGAATGAGCCATGGCCGTAAAGCTCGGGGCTCGGCAAATAGTTACCTCAGAGCACGTCCCAAGCCGCAAAGCCCGTGAGCTTTGGCCAATACTCAGGGCTGTACATAGTTCTAAAAAATTGTATTATCCAACTGTTACTGACTGGGGGTAGTACCCAAACTTGAGCATAACTTGCTGCAGTAACTCTGCAACTCAAGGCTCCATATTGACTTTTCTTGAACGCGTGGCAATCTTCCTTGTTTCCATCACGAGTCCTTGTACTTGGACCGAACTTCGAGAAATCTCGACGTCAAACCCGGAACAATATATATATATATATGTATGTACCTGGACCCCCAAGGTATGTAGAATCATGGCCTTTGGACTATATTTAGGGGATTTGGGCCATTGTTTTACCTAGTTTTGGGGGTTTAGGTATAGCCATATATCACAACCCCCTAGCGCCCTAAATGGTAAACCTGAGAAACACCACTAAAACCCCCCCTGAACTCCCTGTATATTCCCCCAGTTTCCATTTCATTTCCATTTGATTCTCCATTATAGGTGATAATATGATATCCCTAAACCCTGAACCTAAACCCCTAGACCCTAAACCTAAACCCTGAACCCCTGAACCTTAACCCCTAAACCCGAAAGCCTAAACGCAATTAACTATTCAACATGAAAACATCCCAGAGCTTCTGAGCCCCGAAGCAAGACCAGGGCCCGAGGGTCGATTCAGCGGGGCACCTTGTATAAGGTTGGACGCAAGCCCAGAAAGTCCATGCACCCAATAATCAAGTACTTGGGATTTGGGTAATTGTAATACAGATTTTGGGCAAGCAAATGATTTTTAGGTACTTGGACCCTCAGGGCGGTCTGAGGAGTTTGCAAGCTAGGGTTTAGAGGTTGGGGGTGTAAGGTTATAATTGGGTTTAGGACTTAGAGTTTAGGGGTTAAAGGTTAGGATTGGGTTCAGGGTTCAGAAAGGATCCCAAATTCGGAGCCCGTACTTGAAGGGTCATCGGCCGCGAAAGCTATCTGGGCCTTTGATTTGGCTTCCTTGAATACCTACTCTATACCAAGGAACATATGTGCAGCCCTATATAGTCCCCCTTAAATAGATAGAATATGGCTTTGGGTTCATTGAAATACTAGATATACATATGCCATATTCTGTTTACTTAAGGGGGACTGTAGCCCTAAAAGCCCGACTATTGTAGCAAACAGGTAGGGATGGTAGGGGCCATCCAGCGCAGGGGCTCATGTCCTGCTGGGCGCCTGTACAGCTTGTGGGGTCCGGGGCTTAAGCTCCGCAGACTTAAAAAACAACCAGGACATACCCTAAGGCCCTAAGGGTCCAAGTACCTAATAATCAGATGCTTACCCAAAATCTGTACTATAATTGCTATTCCCCAAATCCCGAGTACTTAATTCTTGGGTCATGGACCTTCTGGGATAGTTCTATTCATCCCCTCCCCCTGCCGATGACCTGCACCCCCCCAAATAATAATGTTGATAAGGACAGCAAGCAGGTGCAAGGGACACAAACACAAGGTTGGGGTGATGTTTTTACGCCACAGGGTGAGGGGGTTCGTTCGGGAGTGACGATTTGCCCCAGAAAATTGTGTTTGGACAGGTCGTCAAGGTACAGGTAGGTCAGCTACAGGTGAGTTTCTCTTTCGAGTGATGGGTATATTTGGCCAAGCCAGTTTGCCTCAATATCTCAAGCTTCTGGATACAAGCCATCCATTGCTCACATAAACTAATCCCCTGAACCCTAGACCCTCAGCCCTAAACCCTAAATCCTAAACCCTCAACCCTGGCGGTCCAGCTGCTGGCCGGAGCCTCCATAACAAGAATGCATCGGCGGTGCTGATTTAATTGTAACTTTCTGGATTGCTTGGGGTATATACAAAACCCCCCCCCCCATGAGTGCAAGAGCTACTGATCTCTTCAACTTACTTCTATCCTTTGCAACCCACATTTGCTTGCGGGGGCCTGCCCACTTGATTGCGTGGCTTATAGCACACTAATCGGGCTCTAATTAACATTAATAGACGAGTAGACTCAACTTTATAGCAAGTATGCTCATTCATGGAAACCCTTCTTCGGAGGTCCAGCATGGCTGGTACTCGTACTACTACTCCGCTACCGCAACCGCCACCGCCACACCGCTCCTAAACCCTCAAGCCTAAACCCTACACCCTAAACCCTGAATCCTACACCACTCCTGATAGATCTTCAGCATCGGTGCAAACTCAGCCCTTAGACTTCCAAATCTGCCAAGGTACCCGCTGGCGAGGAGCTCGGGCTTGGGCCGTACCTTCATCAATAAGGTTCTTCAGGTTCAGGGTTAGAAGTGCGGGCTTTGTTTAGGGCTGATGCTTTCAGATTAAGTGCTTAGGGTTATAAGCCTGGCTCAGGTTTTCAGATCAAGCGTTGTAGGGCTTCGCTTCAAGTTTCTGTCCCATACCACCTGTGATCCTCTACTCCAGGAGCTTGGGCGTGGGCTTTAGAGTCTTCAGCGGGCGGTAGGCCGGCTTTAAAAGAGGGCTGAGATCGCCTTGTTATTTTTTTCAGCCCCTCGGACTTTTGATGTCTGCCGCCCTGGCTTAGCTTTCGCTTGCCAGGAGTCAAAGTCTAGGGCTCTGTGCCCAGCATGCTGCTTCAGCTGAAGTAAACCCTGTGCCTCGCCCTGCCCCCCAACCCTCTGCTCTAAACCTACTATTGCCTGCTGGGATTCTGATCATGAAAACCTTTACAGTTTTTAATGCTTAGTTTAGGCAGGCGACTGAGCTGGGAACATCGCAAGCACCCGTGTCGCGGCTAGAACTGCAAGAGCGATAGAATGGAGCTGCAAAATGTGAACCCCGCAAAACCTTAGATACTCTGAAGCCTCATATGCTATTTAGACCCTAAACCTTATGTATGGGGGGAATATATTGGGGTTCTGCTGGGATCATGAAAATAAAATGGAAACTACTACTTAGGTTTTAGGGTGACCATGCAAGCCCCTCACCCGGAACCTCATTCCTCAAAACTCGACACAGTCCCATGTCTAGGCTTCCGGCCCAGTGGCGTAGGGGTCCTACCGTCCGCTTCATTTTCATGCGCAGAGGCCCACTGTAATGCCGAGCGGATTCGTGAAGTTGGAACCACGGGACCCAAATCTGGGCCCGCTTAGCATGGTTGACTATATAAATTGCATACATCTTTCTGCCTGCTGCAGATCAACACTCAGAACACGCAGGGACATCGTTCAGGAATCCTCTAGCAGCATATGGGTACGCAGAGGAACCTCTGACTTTGCAGGCCCTCTGCCAGGTTGAGTCAGATGAAAACCACAACATCACTGTACAGCTTAATAGGCCTTTTTTTAGGGTTTCAGAGCTTCGCTCGGCAATCATGACCTCCCCAAAGGAATTGCAAAGCTCTCAAGGTGGATCCCTCCGGGCAACCGCAACTACCTACAGCTTTATGCCTTGCCCTGAACCCTAAACCCCGTGCCCTCAACTGCAGGTAATTGGGGTTACACGTCTGTCATAGGAGTTTGCCAAAATACGGGGACCCGACATAGACCGAAAAAATACTATGGCCCTTATTTTGGGGACCCCCCCAAAAAAGACACCCCTAATTTTGGGAAACTTTAAACCCTGGCCCTAACCTGAATAATAGGGACTATAATATATTGGGGTCTATATTGGGGTCAACCATTTTGGGAAACTACCATGCTGCTTTACCACATCAAAACTTAATTGCCTGATGGCATGGCTGACTGGTTCAGGATTTCAGGTTCCTAGGGTTTAGGGTTTCAGGTTCCTAGGGCTCAGGGCTTAGGGTCCTCAAGTCCCAACAGCTTTGTTGGTTATACCGAATCCCTGGAGCGCTAACCATTACCATCGCCATTGTTATTGTGGCCACAAAACAATCAAATTCTTGCTATCAATGCGAGTTCTGTTAGTACTCTTACTACTAAAACTTTGACTACTTAATACTTATTACTACATTGAAAATCTATAATCACCATGTACTACAGGTAATTGAAGTTCCTTCTTGATTTTGTAGGTGGTCGGCGGTGCAACCTTTTGCAAGAAGAGGCTCGGGCTGTCTGCATGAGGAAGCCATGGAGTTAGGGTTTAGGGTTTAAGTAGGTAAAATAATGGCCCAAATCCTGTCAATATTGCCCGAATAGCCATTCTTCTACATACTTTGGGGGTCCGGGTAGGGTTTAAGGTTTAGGGTTTATCCCTCTTTTGTGAGGGCCAGCTGGGAGTACATGAAGTGTACAGTACCCCTTCTTTGAGAACTTCCCTTTTGGAGAGATTGGAGAGCAGATTCCTATAATGTTCCCTAGTCTATATGCCCTAGAGTAGTACCTATTTTGCCTCGCGCACTTCCCTCAAGCATCAGGAGATACTTACTAATCTCCCCTAATAATGAACTCCCACGAATATTCCCAAAGACGGGGTTCTATGCCATTCCCCCCATGTAACCCAATACATAATTCCTACAGAATCCCTATTTCACCCCCATAGAAGGAAACTCTTCAGAATCTGCAGCGAGTACAACAGGGTAGCTTCAAAGATTGGGCTCACTGACGCACAACGCAGGCACGCACACGTGCCGGTCTTTTCCGAGGAGTGCAATCACTCCGTCCGTGGCTCCACACTACTAGTCAGGACACAAAAAGGGGCGCCCCTACCTGAGTGCTTGATTGCAATCAGAAGCGGCGATCGCTGATAGTGAGGCTACAGGCTTCAGAAGCTGCACCAACCCCAAAAAGAAGTCAGCGATGCCGCAGTCCACGAGGGTCGCCCTGAATGAACTCGTCGATGGCCTCGATCGCACTCTTGCCCTGCTTCTTGGCTTTCTTTGCCGAAGTGAAGGAGGGATCGTACCTGATGCTCCAAAGCCGAGTACGAAGGTACTTGAGAAGACCAAGACGACAGTCAGCTCTTTTCTTCGTGAGGGCGTCCGCCAGGTCGTAGTCAGAGGCAACCCAACGTAGGAGGCTTCCAGTCCTTTGAAGGTTGTCTCGAAGTTGGAACGCCTGGAGAGCTGCACGCATGTTGCTCAGCCCCAGCAATGGGCTCTCGTTGATCTCGACGGCGTCATATCCACCACGAGAATCGGTGCAGAGAACGCCCTTGATGCGGCTGACCTGCATCAACGCCACAAGATCGGCTCGTTGAGGATGTCCATCGCGGCGTCCTCCAGCTCCATGAAGTTCCGACCAGAGGAGCCTCGTCCGAAAATTATGATCTTCGGCTTCAAGGATAGATTGCACTTCAGCATCATTCGACCCAATTGCCTTACGTTTAAGTTTCCAGGTTCGCCACGATAAAAGGACCATCGGGCAGAACTGGCCGGTGAGGCATTCTGGACCTGCAGCCAAAGTAAGAAATCCGCCGGTGCTATCTCCACGAGGTCTATTCCCGTGAGTTTGGTCTCCCATACTGATGAAGATGACCTGGCTCCAATGTTTGACCTCCTTGAGCTTACAGAACTCCAGCTTGAAGGGCTCCTGTCTGGTCTCGCTGACCAGTTGCTGGATCTCTCGGGCCGTCGCCATGGTTCCGGCGGTGACCAGCTCCGTCAGTAGCAGGTTACAACGGGCACACAGAAGCGGCTGAGTCTGAACAGCAATCCATTGAAGAGCACCCAGGGTGGTGCGACAGGCCTCGATATCCTTGCCGGTGAGATTCTCCTCGCCACGAAGTCGGTCTGGGGAGATGTTCACATCGGACATCCCTTCGATGTAGTACGACTGGTCCACCACAATCTTGTCATAGCCGTGCACGTCCTTCTCGGTCGACACGTCCGTGCCCGCGTGTCGGTAGGAACCAGTCTTGAGCATGCCCCATTTATAGGCGGTGTCGATGCCGCGCTTAATGTCCAGCCACTCGTCCGAGTCGTCACCAGTTCGGTGAAAGTCGTCCACGTGGCCTCCAACCGAGCCTATAGCCAGCGGATGATCTCCATCACGACGTTGTTTCGACAGCCAGACCCATAGGCGTTCTCCAAGTACGGGTTGAGCACCAAGCTTGAGAAAGGTCTTATGAAGGTCCAGCCAAAGTCCACGGGGAGCGGTTGTCGAACCGTAGATATTCGGAGGATTCTCATGATCCCCTCTTCGCCAATGCCAAGCGCATCGCGAAGCTCTTGAACACCGCTTGTCCACAGCTGTTCGTCCGCAGCGGTAGGCTGCGTCTGGAGAAAAGCCGTGGCAAGATCAAGGCCCTCCAGCTTCCATTGCTTCGGCGCCGCCATCAGGTAAAGGAGGTGTCTTCCCAAAGAACTCTGAACTGGCGATGAGGTTTTGAACGAGGGATCAAGAAGATTCGGATGTTGGAATCCGAGCAGAACTATCCTCGCCTTCGACTCATAGGCAGACTTCACTTCCTCGTTGTTGAGGCATTTGCGCACTGCCTCATTCTTTATAAAGCTGTCGACCTCTTTGGCCTTGGCATGGGTGAAAAGCCGCCGTTCAGCCTCTGAAAGCTTGCTAATGGAGACCGCAGAGTCCTTCATCTTTTTGACGAGAAACAACACGGGGTTCCTCTCGAAGGCCTTCCGCTGACGGTTGGACATAGTACCATCAATGTCCATCTCGATTCGGAGGAACTCCTTGGTTTCATCCATGGCCGTGAAGATATCGAACTCTTGAGCTTCTTGATGTGCTTCAGCTTCAAGCAGCTCCACCCAGTTGAGATGCTCAGACTTGAGCTTCTTGTTGGCCGGATTGTCGTAGTCATTGACTGACGCGGGATGCTTGGAGGAAGAAGCCTGATGGCCAGGATCACGCGGAGGATCTGCTTCGGAGTCTTCATGGCCTTCAGCCACGGTTGGTGGAGTAGGTTGGGTTTTTGTCCTCACCCGTCGGGTTGGAGGCGTCGTCATAGTGGAGGAGTCAGGCGCTGGTGGTAAATCAGGAAATTCTTTCTCGTCCTCATCCGGCTGCTGGTCGGTGACGTCAAAGTACTCCTTGCGGGGAAGGATGTCAGCTAAGGACGTCCATTTGGATGGGTCCTCGGTAGATGTGGACTCGTACTGGAACTTCTCAGTCTCCGTCACTGGTCGGACAGAATGTACCGAACAGCGGAACAATTGGCTTCCCACAAGAACCCACACCACATGTCTTCGGGAGTCCCCGGCCGTTTGCTGAGGCAGTATTTCGCTGAAGATCACGCGGCCCGGCCCGACCCAATGTGGTCGACCCGATTTGCGCACGCCGCCGCGAGGACCGACAAACTGTTCCTTTGGCCATACACGGCGCCAGATCTTCACCAAATCAAACTCAGAGAAAGTTCGTAGTGGTTGACGAACCGTAGAATTCGCCAGCCTTGTCAGAACCCGCTTGGACCGGGTACGCTGAGCAACAAGCTCTGCTTCCTGGCGTGCAGTGACCAACCTCGCATAGTCGACTTGGGGCTCCACATTGAGGAATGTGCGGACATCCTCCTCGGATAGGCTGAATGTCTTCCCAAAAGCCCATTGATGAGCCGAATATCCAGCGGTGTACTCCGCGGCATTCAAGGCCGAGGTTGCAAGATGGAGGGTGATCATGGGATCTTGGTCGCGGGCTTCCAGCTGAATCGCTGAAGCAGTGGTTTTCAAATCCTGAACGGCCGCTTCCACGATGCCATGTGCCCAGCTCTCCTTTTCCGCCGTGTAGTGGATCATGATGTTGACGCTGGAGGCAAAGTCGTGGAGGGCATCGGAGATGAACGTCTTCGCGGAGTCCATCAGGAGGAACTCAGGCTTTGGATAGCTTCCTAGCCATCTCCCCGAAAACGATTGGATAACATCCTGGGCCTTCTCCGTGCGCATTTCTAACAGATCGCACATGCACAAGGGATGGACTACTCTCAATTTTGTCGCAGCATCCACGAACAGGATGAGCTTGACCTTTCGCTTCTGATTGGGAACCACCCATTCGCCAGAGTCCACACCGACAGCTTGCCACGCTCGATACATAGGCGAAGTTGAAGCAGGGCACCTTCCCAGAACTTGTGCCACCAGGTTTTAGACTCTCACATGCCGGACAGGAGTGATCGAGCACCACGTTCACCTTCCACTCTGGATGGCCGGCGTCCTTCACAATGCGAGCTAAGTTTCGATTCGTAGGATGCCCCGCTGCACGGTGGTACTTGGCAACCTGGGCAGTCCATCGATCGAACTCCTCCTTGGAGACGCCATCTGGCAAGGCATCACTCGGTGGTTCGACAACTTCTGCAGGTAGTATAGATGTTGTCCAGGAGTCGAGCGGCCATCCATGGGGAAGTCAAGGATTCGAAGTTGTTTTTGGTCTCCAGGAGCGAGACTTCCGGCGAGGCGCGTGGTGTACGCCGAAAGGGCAATCCTGAATCCAGTCCAGCTTTGTGAGGCATGCCAAGCTCGTGGATTAAAGTCACCACTCGGTGGTGAGCATTGGCTATCCAACCCTCTCGAAGCCGCCCATCAGGAGTTTTCCAGCGACATAGAGGATGGTCTTGGGGAGCAGGTTCATTTAGCCACAGCGCGCCGCCAGTGTAGCTGCCGAAACACATCAACATGTTCGAGCTGTTCCGCTCATTATGATAGTCTCGATGAGGTAGGGCAGGACTATTGAAGGAGAGCATCAGGCTCGACCAGGTGCGGTGTGGTGCTTGATGTCGTAGAAAGCCGTTGAGGTACCTGGTGAGCGCCTCGTACTTGTACGTCCTCCAGCTTACTCCTGAGAAGGCTCCATGTGAGAAGGCACCAAGGAGGAGAGCTTGTGGTTGGTCCTTGCGCCATCGCTGATGTGCAGCAGGATGATACACTTGAGCTTGGTACGCAGCAAGGACAACTTTCTCACAATCATGGAACCCATACAAGCGTTGACTGATGCTCCTGTTAACCAAGTCGATGAAGGCCGACCAAGTGTCATCTTGTGACGTGGCAACGCAGGTCTCATGCTCCTCCTCTTCTTCTAGGTGCACCAGCGCAGCTTGATCTTCATTGAGGACGTCGCCTTCCAGAAAGCTTGTTGGACCATCACCTGAGGAAGAGCAGGACTCGGGATCCATCGCGCAGTCCTCCTCAGGAAGGGCCACATCTTCTCGTTGAGACAGGAGGTGCACATGTTTCCGGGGAACTTCTTGATCACGCCAGTGACGGGCTATGGCCTGGACCATGCGCCAAGGGTAGTAGGAGGAGCGTGCCGTCTCGTTGCCTTCGACGACGGTATGTTGATGATGCCCCGGACATACCTTGGTGCGAAAGGCTTGATGGAACTTCTCATCCGTAGTTTTGATGAGCCACTTCTTTCTCAGAAAGCCAGTGCCGGACGAGTCCTTAAGGCCATAGTTGCACCCATCGACTCGGCAGTCCAGCCAGGGAAGTCCACGCAGTTGGAGGGGTGAAGCAAGGTCCAGCAATGGAGCCTGCCGCCAACCAAAGCATGGAATAGGCCACTCGTAGTAGAGCTGGGCGGCGTCGTCCTCGTCCAGCGTTTCCTTCACGAAGTTCACCACGTAGCGCAGCATCCGACGCTCCCGTCGGCGAGCGGTTTCCAAAATGGCTTTCTCTTCCAAGGTCTGGAAGTTGAGCGATGTGAAGGGACTCCACTTAGTGCACGGGAGGCTGAACCATATTCGCTTAGGCCGGTGCTTCCGACGGAGGCGCCGAAGTTCATCCCAGGTCTCCTGCTGATACAAGTCGTATCCACTGGCCAAGTTGATACGTCGAGGATGGAGATGGTGTTGTTCGGCCGCCTCACTCAACCAAGAGTGCGGTGCACAGGCCACTTCCCAGAGACCATCACGATCGTCTAAGGACAATCCAAGGATCACATTGGTGGCCAGGGTGAACATAAGAGTGGCAAAGGCCATCACTTTCTTGCCCATGGGAGAGGAAGTGCCACTGGGGTCTGCGCCAATGATGCAGTTCTCACTGCTGACCTTGACTGTCGAACTCGCGGTAGGCAGCCACCAGCTCCTCGTCGTCGTCGACCAGAGCAGCATTGGTCCAGCTCGTGTCCGAAGGAGTGCCCGTGCTTGTCTGGTATCCCGGGGTCGTGGTCGAAGGAGTTTCCGGGGCTGCCGCGGTTCTCGTCGTGGATGTCGTGGTCGTAGCCGAAGTCTGCGCCTGGATCAGGTGCTGGAGACTCTCGTCGGCCTCCACCTTCCGCTGCATCGCCACAACAATGCGATGTGTGGGCCGCACTTGGCCCATCAGGTCGCAGCTGCTCCAACACCCTTCGAATCATCTCTGGATTCTCGCACTTGGTATGAGCGGCTGTGCTGCCCTTCCTTGGGACATACTCGAGGCGGATGCCGCAAGTCAGACACACTCTCCACGCACCATGTTGATTTCCCTGAGGGCGTCCTGGGGTGTGGTGTCCGAAACATGGCCACTGGGAGCTGCTCATCCTTGGGTCGCGAGGATCCGCAGCAACTCGACGAGGGATGTCCAGAGGCGCTGCCTTGGGACGGGGCCGTGTCTGCGACCTGATGTTGCGGAGGATCTCCCCCTGCTCGGGAGTCTGCTGAGACCGTGACATCTCCGAGGGATCGAGTAGGGGAAGTTGATGGGATCACTACAGAGTTGACTGCGCTAGTCATCTGAGCTGAAACGTCCGCAGAGGTGCTCAATGCCAATGACGCTCTATAAACTTGCCATAGTCTATCGCGAGACTCCTGCAGTTGATGCTCATCCAAATCGGCATCACAAGCTGTCATATCAAACCAGACCGTCTTAAGCTCCAAGACTTGGTGGTCCAATGCCGTGGTTGTAGTTGGTGGGGTACAACTGACTACCACTTGTGCTTGGCCGGTACCAGTGCATTGGCCCTTAGTTAGGTACTGCACAATGTCAAGGACGAAGTGACCCTTCTTGTTTGTGGGGAGCTTGTAGATCTCCGGTTGTTGTTCTTTAGAATTGAGAGCAAGACCAGTGGCAAAGTCTATCACCATGCCGACTCCCATATCGCCAAGGAAATCCATGCCAATGAGAATTGGGACCAAGGAAGCTTTATCAAAGTTGCTGCTGTAGTACTCCGAAGGATTGGGTAAGGTATACAACGAAAATTGTCGAGGACTTCCAGAGACGCTACTGGTTATGCAAGTTCTTCCCAATGACCTTCCCCACTTGCCATCCCCAAATCTGAAGTAAGGCCTGGCGTATGTCTGAATGTCAATGCGGGCTCCAGGGTCACGAGACAAAACAGCATCTATGAGGCCTTTCACCACCGCCTCTGGCGCTGCTGAGGCTGTGGCACCCGAATCAAGCATGCCTGTTACAGACTCGGACCTTTCAGGCCCCTGAGAGGCAGACATGCCCAACGCTTCAGAGACCTCGAGTCCACCAATGAAGAGGTTGCCCATGACGTCGGAGGCGTAGGCATTGACAGAGCGATGGGAGTCCTTGCCCCTCATCTTGCCTTTGCCCTTACCCTTCCAAGCAGCATTGGCCTCGACAGCCATTCCCTTCTTGGACTTGCCCTTGTGGTTGTAGTTCATGTAGTAGTCGTCGGAGTCGGCCATGTAGGAACGGAACTTGCCCTTGCTCTTGCCCTTGCCAAAGCTGGGATGTTGACGGTCAGGGCAATCTCGAGCAAAGTGGTTTCCGCCACAATTAAAGCACTTGCCACTGCCACCAGAGGAGAGCACTGCACCAAGGCCACGATCCTTCCGCAAGGCTTGAGTAGCACGTTGGGCTTCCGTCCACGTACGATGGGCTTCAGCTGGCTTGTAGCGGGGAAGCTGTCGGCCTCCCACTCATCATCCCACCACCACCACCACGAGTCGAATTCGCCAACGTCGTGGTAGTAGTCATCATACCACCAGCCATCATCGTGCCACGACCACTCGTCGTTCTCCTTCTAGTAGATGTGATCCTCGGCCGACGGCTGAAGGAGATGAGCCTGGTAGTGTCCACCGCTCCCAGTAGAACCTCTTTGTCCAAGTAGCTGGTCATCCCACAGGCTCTGAAGCGCTGCCGAGATCACAGAGTAGTCCAAGCTGTTCTTAGTAGTGCTCAGTATGTCACGCTTCTCTTCGGCACTGAGCCCAGCTGCTTGTAGTAGTCGCCATCCTCGAAGTACATCAAGAATGAAGGAGTCCGCAAGCGTCATCTCATCCAAAGGAACATCATGAGGATGAGAACGTTCACCTCGAACTCCCTCTTGTGACTGGGTATCACCAGGTCGGTGGCTAGGAGAGGATCCTGTTGCACCTTGAAGAGGTCGTCCGTCACCTGTAGATACATTAGGATCTAGAGCAGGTGCAGGAGGATCACGATCATCTGGCGGCGAGTCGTCAGGAAGGTCAGCATCAGCAATGTTCTCGTCCTGGTAGTCGTCATCATACCATCCACGTTCGCCGCGCCACCAGCCTTGCCATCCGTCTTCCCAGTCCAAGTCCGATTCCGTGGGAAGACCGAAGTCACGAGACTCTTGAGATATACCAAGCTTCTCTTCGTGAAGTCGGATCAGGGCCTCCACGAACTCTTCATGGACCAACGTTTCCCTCACAAGAAAGTTGCCAATGGACTCGTCACATTCCTCCGAAACGAGAAATACTGCTGGCAGATCGCCGCTGCATTCGGAAGGCTCCGCCGCACCAGTGGACTTGCGGCCAGCCTCTGCAGGAACAACTTCGTGCCGTCCACGGAGTCAAAGGCCATCTTCGACCAACTCATGGCCAAGAGCCGGGCTGGTCCACTCAGCCTGCTAAGAAGCTTCGACGCACAGTAGCGCCTCTTGTGCACCGGTGTGGCCTGCACAAACCAAGCCACCTCTCGAGTGTATCTACGCCATGTCCGAGCAGAGCCATCCCAGGAAGGTATGGCAGAGTGCCCTCTGCTGTCCGCCATCTCGTTCGAGAGGGACCAAAACTCAAAAGTATTCTGGAGAAAACTGCGATCTCTGCAGGCGAGCCGTGGAAGGAGGAATTGCCGAGGTCGTCACAGATGTCCAGCAGGCTCTTGGCTATGCGTGCAGCGGCGCCCTGTTCTTTCAGAAGAAGGCACCTGGAGCTTTTGCTCCGCTACCAATGCAGCGAGTACGACAGGGTAGCTTCAAAGATTGGGCTCACTGATGCACAACGCAGGCACGCACACGTGCCGGTCTTTTCCGAGGAGTGCAATCACTCCGTCCGTGGCTCCACACTACTAGTCAGGACACAAAAAGGGGCGCCCCTACCTGAGTGCTTGATTGCAATCAGAAGCGGCGATCGCTGATAGTCAGGCTACAGGCTTCAGAAGCTGCAGAATCCCAATAAGCTCCCTTTCTTCCGATATAATTCCTATACAATCCCTTTAGGGGTTGCAAGGGGTTTAGGCTTAAGGGTTTGTGGTTTCAGGTTTAGGGTTCAAGGTTCAGGGTTTAAGGTTAATTGCTCTCCTGCCAACCGCCGCAAGGCGCTGATGCAGGTGGCCCCTGGCATGAACTAACTTAAGGATTTAGGAACTGGGATTTAGGGCTTAGGATCTAGGATTTAGGGTCTAAGATTTAGGATTTATGGGTTTAGGATTTAGGGCTTCGGGGTGAAGGGTCTCTCAAGACTGGTTACGCTTAGGGACCCTAGGTAAATGTGGGCATTCTAACGGTTGTCAAGCGAGCGCTAGGGATTCTACAAGGAAAATTTAGCGAAACTTGCTACGGTTTCAGGGTTATGGATTTTGGATTTGTGCCTTCTGAGACTTAGGGGATTCAAGGTTTGCTGGTTGAGGGTCTAGAGTCTAGGGACGACACTTGGTTTTATGCCTGGTAGTTTGCAGAGCACGAAGCAGTGGATCGTCCTCGGGTTTGAGTTGCGGATGCCGCCAGTGCTCAAGCTAACAACACGGCTAAGGATATAGAAGTTGAAGGTTTCAGGTTCTCCAGCTACCAACTGTAGGGCTTCCCATTTCTCAGGTATTCCTGCGTCCCCTCTGCACACATGGAACCCCATGCAAGCCAAAGTCTTCCTACAAAGTTCGTAGGATGCTGAAGCGCCGCTCCACCTAATGATTGGGAATTCAAAGCTCTGGCCGGCTTAACGTTAAAAGTTTCAACTCTTCTTAGGCGTCTTCTGGAAGGACTGACCCGTTGGAACATGTAAAGGCGGCAAGTCTGTACTACAATGCGTTACAGCTGCGCCAGGAACGCACGTAAGGTTAATTCGATGGCTGTTGCACATTAGGGTTTGGATGGGTTTGGGATTTCGCTAGCTGGACGGTGCATGAGCATCTTGCAAGTCTAACTGAGGGCAGGACAGGAAACACCTGATGCATTTGTGAGTGCATCATCTGCTGCCTGCGGCCGCAAACGTTTGTGGCGTGAAGTGTCGTCACTTTACGTTTCAGATGTTTAGTGCTCGTTTGCGTTGATGCTTAGAAAGGGACCCCCTGGCACTCATCCTGTTTGTCTTCATTAGATCGTGGATGCAAGTCTACTCTCTAGCCCCTTTCAAACAGATAAGCCGTGTTATCAGAAGGGCCCCAGCAAGGGACCCACCACGGCACTCTTTAGGTTTGAAGCCCAGGCCGGGTTTCAGGCGCATTCGAAGAACAATAATAATATTAATAGCAATAAATACTGGGAACAAAAAACAGTAGCAATAAAAATAGTAATACTAGTAACAGTAATGTTAATAGTAATTATAGTAGTATAGCAAGGAAACAGCAGCAAAAACAATAGTAGGTAATGATAATAAAAACAATCTACGTGGGGTCAGGAGGGGTATCTGGGCCGTGCACAGGGGAACCATGCCGAGAACACCCTCTGCAGTGACCCATGTGGGGGTTTCCCAAAGCCAGGGGGGTACCTTCAAAGGGATTGTAGGAGTTATTTAGGGATCATTTAGGGACATGAAGGAATATAATATACTGGGTTCTATTTGGGGTCCCGCTTTTTTGGGAAACTACCATGCTCCTTCAAGTAAAAAAGCCTTGCTACGGGCGGGCAATGGAATAGTGTGGGAATCAGCGCTGATGAGTGATGAGTTCTCGTTAAGATCCCTTGGCCATCATAGCCTCCACACACTCCTGAAAGGGCAGTCTCACAAGAACGACATGTTTGCATTCCTGCTCAAAGCCCAAAGGGCCTCGACAAACTGAAGTTGCATCGCTATGATATTACGCCTTAACCCTAAACCCTACGACTCTAAACAAGCACCTTCAGCCCGTGAACGCCCAGGACCCTGAAGCTCCCAACTTTAAGCCCCCAACCCGGGAAACCTCAAAACCTCACCCCAGATCCTGAAACCCAGGCTATCAGTCCCCTCAACATCAACCCACTAGCCCCCTGAAGTCCTTTGTCTCATCTGCTCTGCTTGTTGCTGCTCCTGGCAGAGGCAAAACCAGGATTCGAAGTGTCAGGAAATCGTGGGTTTCCGTGGTCAGTACCTAGGTGCAGCTTCACCTCAGAAAAGGTACACTTTTTTTTAACCATGCTGGGGATGCGTAGGGTTGAATAAGGGAACATTTTCTATGGGATTCTATAGGGATTATCTTCCCGACTCACAGCCAGTAAGTTGCAGAGTTTGAGGGGCCAGATTATAGTTTCAAGCTGCAGTTCTTGCAATGATCGACGAAGGCATTGGTGCCAGTCACATGGAAACACTGCCTCATCGAGGCTGGACCACAGAACCTAAACAAAAGTACCTTGCACCACGTGCGGACAAGCTGAAAAAGAGTTTCCGACTAACGTACATCTTGATGAGAACCTTTAGCCCTAATCCTGAAATTCGAAACCCTCCAGCACGCGTCTGCTGAAGCTCGCATGCACCAGTCGAAATGCCCTGCCGACGATGACTAGAAAGCAATTGGGTAGTTCCCGAAGTTAATGTCCAATTTTGGTGCTCATACATATTAGGTGTCGCAATAGGATCTATGACCAGGAGAGGCACATACTTTTGAGAACAACCCATAGTGTGGGAAGCTTGGGATGTTGACCCCTCCACATTTCAACTTACTGCCTAGAGGTGCCGGTGTTGAGGGGGAACCTTCAAATTCCATGTTCATTGTATTATGGCTCCTGAAGGTCATGAACTTTGTGAAGTTGGAAGCTTCAGAGAAACGTTTGCTAATGCTCACCTGCCGGGATTCCTGAACACAGTGAGAACCCACAGCATTCACCGCAATCCAAAGCCCACCGAACAGAAGAATTTTCTCTCATGTAATAGCTCGTACAAGCTTGAGCCAGCTTGAGCTGATATTTAGCCAGTTTTTGAGTCGATGAGAAACTTGGTATAAACTCCACGGAATCCTGAAAATGCTCCTGATTTGTGTGGCTAGGCGAAAAGTTCCTTATTGTAACCTTGAGAAACTCTGAACCCGTGACCTCATAAGTCCACATGGCCCCTACCCCACGTCAGCGCAAACGGAACCTGTTGACACTAAACGCTAAACCCTGAACCCTAAACCCTCAACCCAAAACCCTGGTTGAAGCTTTTCAGGATTCTGCAGCCCCTCACCTGGAGCATTCGTTCCATGTGCATCTGCTGCTCGGCATATCTTTGCCTCAGAGATTCCACAAGACACTGCTGTCGGCTTTCTGGTCTCGTCCCACCCAACTATAACCCCTATATATATGTATATACCCCATTATACTATATTAGTTTCCATTTTCTTTTCCATGACCCCTATATCTACCCCAACATACTATAATAGTTTCCCTAAACCCTAAACCCCTCTTAATAACCCCCATATACTATAATAATCTGAAAGAGCAGTTTGAGCCCAGCCCTTCCATCAGCGAGCGAGGATTCTATCAGGGATTGTTGTGCCTTATTCGGGCCTCATTCGATTTGGCTGCTTTCGTCCATATCTGTGCAATATTATGCAATTCTCCTCTGCTCCCTTCCCCAACTCTATCAAAGCGCTACGCCGGCCGAGTGGCTGCTCCATGTAGCGCTGCTGCTCCATGAAACGCTGTTGCTCCAGCTGTCTCTGCTGGTCCATGTGCATCTGCATCTGCATTTGCTGCTGTTGCTGATGCATGTGCATCTGCTGCTGCTGCTGCTGCTGCATGTACCTGAGTTCATGCGGGCAGGGGCTCTGCAGGACGGGTGACGAGGACAGGGGAGTCCTGCTTGACAGTTTAAACAAAAACCAACATCGTGGCGTGGCGACAGCTGAGACACATCTGCTGCTCCATTGGCATCATTTGCTGCTCCATATACCTGCCGGAGCATCCTATTGCTACCGCTACTACTACAGAATACTAGTACTGAGACTAGTACTAGTAGTAGTAATATTCATTTAATGAGCACTAAGAATATAACAGCAAGCTTGGAGGGCAGCCCATTCCTCATTTGAATGCCTGCATTCCGTAGGAGGGCAGGCTTCTGACCTTCGACGCCACAGCTGAAACATCAGAGCAAAATTCGGTCAAGTAGTTGGCCTGTGGAGGCACAGTCAGTGATTTCCCTATATCCAACATCCCCCTGCCTAACATTGAGAATGTCCCCACATGATCATGTACATGGTGAATGTAGCGGGGATAGGGGAACAGATTACGATGAAGACTTGGACCCCTGGGCAAGTTGTGTAACATGGCCCAACAAAACCCTAAAGCTCCAAACACAAACGCATCCAACTTCCTAAATCTCACAAAGGGTTGGCGCGTCTGCAAACCACGAACCACGTGCAAAACCTCTGCAGCTCCTAGGCAGCCATATAGGCGCAACAAGCCATAGCCCGAATGCTGTTGTTCCACAGCTTAGAGACTCTGAGCTAAAAACGTTAAGCCCCACTCCGCAGGTATAGCCACACCCGAGGGGCCTTTGTTCTGGAGGCATTGTGTTGCCGAAAGCCTCGACTACCAGAGCAAGTTCAAGCCATGGCTCTCTCAAAGCTGATGGAAAGTTCCACTTGCAGCGAAGACGAGAAAATTTCATGTCGTGTGACCTGCCGTTGCCTGCAACTCTGGCCACCATTGCTACTTCTCCGCCTCCAGACACGACCCACCACAGGAACCACTTCCGCCACTTATGCGACCCAGCAGTCCTGAAATTCAGCATTCATTCAATAAATCCACAAACAATCAAAGATACCTCCAGGAGCAGTCTGAGGAGACGGCGGGTGCGCCGGGACCCAGCGGTGCCCTGAGCAGCGAATGCTTCAGGGTGTTGAAGTCTTGGGCGTGAGCTCTTTTCCCCTTCCGTCGGTTAAAATGGGGATTTCCCAAAATTAGGGGTACCATTTTGTGCGTCCCAATAAAACAAGGACTATAGTATTTTGGGGTCTATATTGGGGAGACCACCAAAATGTTGGAGATTCTGTGAGCTACTTTGCGTAGGCACAGGTTTGCCGTCACGTGGTCCTCACTACCTGGACCCCCAAAGCATGTAGAATAATTGCCTTTTGGGCTATATTTAAGGGTTTTAGGCCATTATGTTACCTACTTTGGGGGTTTAGGTAGTCGCCTGAAGAATCCCGTAACAACCATGGCGTACAATGTGGGCTTTTCGGCGTGGAGTTTTCGGCACGGGATGACTTGGGCCTACACCACAAAGCGGAAATCCAGAAACCTCAGGGCCCCGCTATAATATACCATAATATGCCATAAGATACCGTAATGTACCATTATGAACCATAATATCCAATAATATACTATCATATACTATAATGTACTATAACATGCTATAACATACTCCTGCCCTCTGAATCCTGGCCCGGCCTCTGCATCAGCATGGGCTCAGATACGCCCATGGGCATCGGGAAAGGTGAGGTCTCGTTCGAAGCAGGAGGCGCCTCGGGTATAATTTTCTAGTACATGATGGCATATTACAGCACAGTAAAATGTGTTATAGTACATTATAGTATACTATACTACATTATAGTATATGAAACTATATGATGGTTTCATATAGTGTATTATGGTCTAATATACCCCTGCACCACCTCAAGCCCCTCACGTTCTACCTCTTACAGAACTTCCAGCATGCTAGATGGTGCTTGATTCCTTCCATCAACAATACCAAAAGAAACCACCCACTCGGCTGATTCTGGAGTCTTGATGCAAATAATGGCCTGTTGACTAGTCGCAGTACTCTTTGGGCACCACAATACATGTCAGAGCTCCATAGTCCCCCTTAACTAGATGGAATATGGCTTTGGGTATATTGCAATCAGATCCCCATATACCCCATATTCTGTCTACTTCGGGGGGACTATAGCTTCTACCCGTCTACACTGTGAGGTTGCAGAGCTCATGGCTTTGGAGCCCGCAGTCTGTCCAGCCTCCTGAAAGTGTAGGGATGGCCAACCACACTAAACTCACTTCCCCCCTCCGAAATGTGGCCTCAATGATGCCTAGTGGAAGGACATGGGGAGATTTGCCCCCTGTCATTTCAGACCTTGCAACTTTTGGAAGTGTTCAAGGAAAGTGAATGTTGTGCCCTATGTGTTTCCGTCCTCCTCATGCCATCATACCTTCAAACTAAGTATGCCGAAAAATGATAGCCTACTACAACTTAAATATCGGACACGTTTAGACCTCCATAAGCTTGAATGTCATCCCATTGCAACCATTGCAACTCTACAACAAGGCACCCCAAGAATGATCCGCTTAGTTCCCACTTCATTGTCCAGTTGCTTATCCATGTCATTCTCCATTATTCTCAACACGTAGTCCCGGCCCCTTCAATAATTCTCCTGCAAGCGGCTCCCATCGTGCGAGGCACCAGGAATTGTGAACCAATCACGGGCGCCTCTCCGGAGAGCTCATGAGCCAGAAGATGGGATTTCGTCAGAACCCGGGAACCTCTGAAGTAAAGTAGAAAACAGCAAAGGCAGAGAGTTCCTATTATATTCGTGCGGTTCCCTGCTCGGGAGTGTTCCAAGAAATCTCATGTTTCTCCAGGACTTCCTTTCGACTTCAGTCAGAGGGGTACTTGAGGAAGTGTTCACGAAATCGTTTGAAGCTTCTTTGGCTCTTGAGACCCCCACGCTGTGTCCGCTCCTACGCTTGGCTTTCCTCAAGTTGCCGGACCCCTGTGTTGTGCGGGGCCCGAAACTACAACCGATGCCACAGGGGGACCCTGCAAAAACTGCTGCGATTTGGAAGGCGCTCAATGTGGAGTTCCATGTTCCTGTGGAGGGTACAAGGCCCTGATCACCATCACCACGCCTGCGCTCCGGGAGTCATACTCAAGGTTTAGGATAGCTTCTTCAGGCTGGAATGCAGTTGTCATAGCCACGAACAATTTGGTTCAAGATATTTGGGTGACTTGGACCTTGCAATCTGCTCCTACGTCCGATTCTTACCGAACCTCGTAAGCATGGGCATCCCCTACAAAGTACCCAACATTGAACATCAAATGGAACATCCATTATGGGGGGGAAGGGGCTGGGTTGCTGTTAAAGAACTTAATTAGTTTAAGTTACTATATTGGGCAAACCATAGTAATTACTATGTATATATACCCATTATGGTAACTGAAATTAAGTTCCTTGACAGCAAGCCAGGGAGCGTAGCAGTCCCGGAGAGCGATAACCCTAAACCCTGAACCCTAAACCTTGGGTACTGCCTCCGCCCAGTAACAAGCTATAATAGGGTTCATATTAAGGGCTATACTTTTTAATGTTGTATCCATTATCCAGCTGTTACTGGGTGGGGGCAGTACCGAACCTAAACCCTTAAACAAGCCTTGCCTCGTTTTCGGCCTCCTTCGGGCGTCCGCCGAAAAGCCTTGCGCTGGATACGTTTGCAGGGCTTAACATTCGACTCTAGATCCTAAACCAATAATTATCCCCTAAGAAGGGACCCCTAAACCCTAGACCCTGAAACCCCTAAACCCTTAAACCCCTAGACCTCTCAACCCTAAACTCTAAAACCCTAAACCCCTAACACCCTAAACCCTAAGCTCCCCCATAATCCCCTAATCCCAACTATTTCCCAGGATCCCTAAGGACGCCCCAGGTTTACAGGGCTTGGTCACCTCCTACCTGGATCAAAGCCGGGGCCATAACAACACTGGGTAATAGTAGATAGAATATAGGGCCTTAATAAGGGTTATATAAAGGGATAATGGACAAGAAACTGGAAACTACTATTTAGGGTTTAGCGTTTAGGGTTTAGGGGTATAGTCCCCCTCAATTAGATAGAATATGGTATATAGGATAGTGGAAAAGAAAATGGAAACTACAATTTAGGGTTTAGGGTTTAGGGCTATAGTCCCCCTTAAGTAGATAGAATATGGGGCATATGGGGATCTTATAATGATACACCCAAATCCATATTCGATCTCCTCAAGGGGGGCTGTATATTTTTTGGGAGGACCCAGTATGGAAGGCCTTTATGGAATCCCCCAGATAGGTTATGTCACGATTCAGGTTTTAACATGTATGTGGGAGTTCAATATTCCTCACGATGGGGATGCCTAGGGTTTAGGGTTCAGGGTTTAGGGCGTGTTGTTGCACGGATGTTGCTGTCCGTACCTTTTTCTGTTGTCCATGTTACTGTTCTGCTGTTGGATCCATGTCCCTGTTGACTCAGGGCAGGGGCATAAACATCATACCCCCTAAGGCACACAACTTGCTAGTGCTAGAGGGTCAATTTGGGGAGATGATGTCTATGTTACTTTGGTATATACTCCCCTGCAATTATACCCAAAGTCTGTGCCTCACTTTTTTCTTTAGCACCAGCAGGGCAAGATCCCAATAATGACAAAGATATGAAGACAAGCATCATTTGTTAGCCTCGCTTCTATACAAAGAACATGACGCAGCAAGGCAACAAGGCGCAAACAACATCTGAACCGCGCTTCCCGAGACCCCACCCGCTGACGTTTCCCTGGCTCGTCTCAACATTTCCTAGTCTGGCTAGCAAGGTCTTCGAAATCATCAACCACGGCGTGATTGCACGCACCCCCCCCGAAGAAAAAAAAAATACTTTTCAGCTTCAGCAATCTGCAGACGTCTCGTCTCAAGTTAAGCGAAGAGCTATGTGATCAGGCAGTTTCTATCTTTGCAGGCCCGCAAGAGTAAAGCCAAAATATGAATCTCATGACGAACATACTGGAGACTGACTACGCTCTGGCTTGCCGAACACCTAAACCCGCCCTCAACCCCTTAACCCCTTAACCCCAAAAGCTCAACCCGTAAAGCCCAAACCTTCAAACCCCTCAGCGCTACACCCCTAAACCCCAAACCCCAAAACCCTAAAAACACGTGGCTCGGGTGCTGGCCAGGACATCCAGCCCTGCGGTTGTGTCTCCTGGGGCAATCCCTGAAAACCAAAGCACCCAAACGGGAACATTAATCCCTCAATAATCAGGAATCAAACGGAAAAGTACCATGGGAAAAGACATGGACACTATTGTTAGTTATAAATGAAAGTGTTGTACTCTAAGGGGAGGGGAGTAACAAGGGTTATATGAGGTTCTTAGGATATACAAGGATATAGCCTATAGATATTCAGGGGATTAAGTATCCGAAGGATAAGAAAACCATCAGCCCAAAGTATCTACATTTAATCTACTCGGGCTTAAATTGCATCGCATTTGCGTACCCAAGCCGAGGACATCATACTGAGCTAGATTTGAAGCTTGGCAAAAACCTCCTCCTTCCATCTGTCTATGTAGTACCTCTACCTAAACCTCCAACAGTAGGTAAAATTATGGCCCCACCCCGTAAGTATAGCCCAAAAGGCCATTATTCTACATGCTTTGGGGGTCCAGGTAAGAGTTAGAGTATCTAGAGGTCGAGCTCCGTATAACTATAGGGATTACAGTGTTTTTTAGGTGTTATATTGGGTTTATCTCGGGATAATGGAAAAGAAAATGGAAACTGCATGTCGTGTTGATATTTCCGTCGGACTTAGAGCTACTAGGGTCGAGGTGAGAGGTTTCCTTCCATTGGGGTCCCCAAAACTTCGTTTTAGTTTGGGGGTTTAAAGTAAGTGGGGACGTAAGTATGGCATCATCAATTCTATTTTGGTCCAGTGCACGGCTTGCGCAATCCTAGAAAATCCAAAGACATGAAACCTTAAAGTCCTGAACCCAGACACTACACCGGAAACCCTCAACATGTCCTTCTCTTGAAATCCTTAGCCCGAAAGGCCTGTAAGCACCTCTGCCTAGCACATGAACCTCCCACACCTGCCATTCTGAAGGAGACCCGTGAACACTAAATCGGTCAGATATTGCTGGGAGGCTGGCCAGCTGCCCTGTCCCCCCACCTTGGATTGTAAAAGGGGAAGGAACCCTAAGCCCTCAACCCCTAAACCCTGAACCCTTTAAACCCCTAACCCCGCCCCTAAACCCTAAACCACTAAACCTTGGGTACTGCAACCCCTCAATAACAATTGGATAATAACTATAATACAGTTATATATAGCCCTTCATAGGACCCCTAATATAAACTGTTACTGGGGGGGGCAGTACCCAAACTAAACCTAAACTCCTAAACCCCAAACCTGAAACTCCTAAACCCCAAACCCTAAACCCTAAACCCTAAACCCTAAACTCTAAACCCTAAACCCCAAACCCCTAAAACGTTTTGGGAGCTTAGCCTGGCTGCCCTGTCCCCGGTACCCCCCAGCCATCCTGCGGTGGCGGCGCGAGGCCTGGCCTTAGCTATGAGAAGAGTAGGATGTCAGGGTTTAAGGGTTTAGGATTTAGGGTTTAGGATTTAGGGTTTAGGGTTTAGGGTTCAGGGTTTAGGGTTCAGGGTTTAAGGGTTCAGGGTTTATTATCTCAAGGCTTAAAAGGGTTTGGGGTTAAGGGTTTAGGCTTATGAGAAGAGTAGGCTGTCAGGGCTTAGGATGTTAGGGTTCAGGGTTTATATAAGGGTTTAGGGTTTAGAATGTCACGGTGTAGTATGTTGGGGTTTAAGGGTTTAGGATGTCAGGGTTTAGGATGTTAGTGTTTAGGGTCTAAGGGCTTCGGGTTTAGGATGTCAGGGCGCTGGGGTTTAGAATGTTAGGATGTCATGGCGTTGGGGTTGTTAGGGTCTGCAGGGGTTGTTTGTAAGTCTTGTTGTCTTACATTCTTCTAGCGTCAGGGCCTGTAGGACTCGTGATTTTAAGGCTTCAGGGTCGTAAGGAGTATTGTTGTTATTAAGACTACTATTATCATTATTACTATTATTCTTGCCACTACTATTACGTCTATCATTACTGGTATTTAATTTACTCTTCACATACATTATGAGGATTCTTTTCGTGAAGCCACGGTATTAGCATTTCTGCTTCTGCGCACGGACGTTTCATAATTGACGGACTGTGAAGTCACTTGTAAGTACATCCCATGGCAAGCGCTCAAACGCAGGATCACCTTTGATACACCCAAAAATGACCCTAAACCCTAAACCCTAGACCCCAAGAACCCTAAACCCCACTTTCTGAGAAATCTGGTTTTCAGTACTGGAGACGGGGATGTCTCTGTCAGCCTTTGCTACCGAGCAGCATTCCAAACTCTCCAGTGCCTGCTGCCCTGCGCAAGAATAGGCTAAAGGCATGAAACTTGTGGAAAGGTTTAGGGTTTAGGGGCTAGGGCTTCCGTTGAGGGGGTTGCGCTTTTACAGTTTGGGCAAGGGGCTAGGGTTTGAAGTCACGAAACTTGCAGCAGTCATTTTGAACTGAAAGTTGCTTTTGACAATTCATTTTGCTTGCCAGCATGATTGGCAGCGTGGCATTCAGGCGTTTGCTCTGGGCAAAGACTTCCGAGAAAATCGCTGTTGATTTGAAGGATTGCTAAAATTGAAGGCCGACGATGTACACGGAGGTTCAAAAATCATTCTGGGGCCCTATTGTTCTCTACGGGTACTTTCGATGCATTCACATTTGGGTGTCAGTGCCTGCGTTTGTTCATGGAGTCCTGCCAGGCATATTTAATTCGGTTGACGCTACATACCTATATTTGTCCACCAAATCCTTGGTTCGACAAATGGGCCGCAATGCAATATTCAATAGCCCACCCCTTTTGCCAGAAATCGCTCACTCCCTGAAAGATCAGATTTGTTGTGGCCTAGTGTTTTGCTATGCTCCTTTTATCCTACATCTAAAGCCCCGCTTATAAGTACACGAGAAGCAGCCCCAAAATAGACCGGTCACTGCTGCGGTTCTAGGATGACATCGTCATGCTGCAGTAGGAAATCTGAATTGAGGTCCCTCACCTCACGGTCTCGGGTTTTTGAGTATCTGCCCCACGGCCCGCAGCAAGTCTTCGGAACAAAGCTGAAGCTGGCACCCGCTCAACATGAAATCCGAAACCGGAGCGCGACCTCCGAAAAAATGACAGTAAACCTAGACCGCTAACCTCCACAACCCCAAAGCCTAAGTCTAAATCTCTGCAACTCTAAATCTTCCCTGTTTCGAAGTCCTAGAACTTTTTGCATACTTGGAGGCAGTTTGGAATCAGGCAATATGTAAGATCCACTTTATAAATCCAATATGCCTCTTGCAACACTTTACAAGCCGATGACCTTACCCATGAGTATCCCCAGGATCCCATAAAGCACCAAAACTAGGTAGCCGGGCCTCACGGAGGCTCCAGGCTGCGATGGCATGCCGCCCTGTGCGCCACAGACGAAAAACAACAACTCTCAGATGATATAACCGGGGCTTGGGCTTCAAGATTTATAAGGGTTTATAGTCAGGGTTTAGGGTTTGAGGTTTAGGGTTAGAGTATGGTGTATATGGCGATCTTATCATGATTTTGGTCAGTTCCCTTTTCTATCTACTTAAGGGGGACTATAGGCTGGGGGTGTTGCTGTTGGGTTCAAGGTTCTGGGTTGAAAGTTTCTTTAACAAGGGTAGTAGCTGCTGACAATCCTCGCAACGTTGCTACATCCTAAGAGAACAGTCCTGAAGCCCTGGATCTTGCCACGCCCCAAACAAAATTGGATACCCCTAGAACACGTTTTCAAAGGACTGTAGTCTTTGCAAGCCCTCGCTTCCATGCTAGTCTGGGAGAATGTAATCCACGAAACAAATCGTGCAATGCCAGACACTCCACATATTCACCGCACCAAATCTTCTTCTCCCTAGCAGCCATCATTATTGCAATCACTTCCCACTTCCGAGACCCCTAGAGGAAAAACTGCTTCTCCCTAGTTTCCCCAATGTAGTAATGGGGCCATTTTGGGGAGGCTGGAGTTTCAGTTTGGGTTAAATCCCCGAATCCTGAAACCTGAAAGCAGCTCATGGCTGGTGGGCGGACGATGGAGTGGCATAAGGTATAGTTTAGGGTTTAGGGTGTAGGGGCGGGTTTAGGGTTTAGGGTTTAGGGGCATAAGCAGTCAAAGCAGTACTGCGCACCATCGCTGAGACTAGGTTCCCGAGCAAACCCTTGATAATCATGGTACCCCTTTTCCCAGTTAGCGATCTCAATACGGAACCCTCCAAAAAAGGGAACAGGGGTTGGGGCACCTAGAAACCTAGCACTACTAGTAGTAGTGCTACTACCGCTGCCACGCCTACTATACCTCCTCCTCCTTTAGCATAACAATTATACAAATTGCCATGGGGCACCTAGTCCATCACTACAAGTTGGCCAATACTGTTAACCTAGGACCTTGCATTAAGAAAGGTGTGACAATAGACAATTCCTGCCTGGCCAAAAAAAATCTAGAAGACAACTTTTGCCAAATATTTTGGAGCACGAAAACCTACATACAGGGTCCATCGACACAAAATACACAAATCAACCCACAGGTGCCATTTGAAAGTAAAGCTGCTTCTGACTTCAAAGCCAATGCTTGAAACTGCACAGAGAACCTGAAGGTCAGGGAAGTCAGCTGCCTCGGCCTTTCCTATCTCTAAATGAGAAGAATTCAGACAGATCAGAAACTAAAGATTCTTTCTTACTTCGCTGGAAAATTCATCCTTGGAAGCAAGAGCCTTTGCTATCTGGAAATCCCAGGCATCCACAAGGATCAGAAAGTACCGATTCCTTCTTTCAGAGGGTCCAAGTACCCAATAAATAGGTCCTTGGGATTTGGGTAACAGTATTTATAGTACAGGTTTTGGGTCAGGATATGGTTATTAGATACTTGGACCCTTAGAGTCCTACTCAGCTTACTTGAGAATCCATCCCTGGAAGCTTCCGAAGGCTACCTGGGGTTTAGGGCTTAGGATGGTTTAGGGTTTAGGATTTAGTACCCCCTAGACACCTAAGGTTGTACAGGGAGTTTCAGGGACTAGGGCCTAGGGTTTATATACATTAACAAAGTATATAACTGTGGGTAGATACATAATTATTAGCTAGACTGAGTTATTTATAGAAATTAGGGGCTTCAAAATGTTCAGGGCTTTGAACTGACAGTCGTTGCTTCGAACAATAAGTAATAGGGGTTACAGGTATTCCACCCTAAACCCTAAACAGGCTGAGCAACATCATGACACAGGCCTGGAAGCCTCCCGTGGAGGCACCAACCTGCACAAGCGAGGAGTGCAACAAGGAGGAGGCAGCCCTGAAAACGGAAAGACCTTCCCTGAAAACGAAAACACCTTTTCTTACTGGTTCTTAGTAGGAAATAGGGGAGTATATTCATATGGGGTTATAGAGGGATTATATTCCCATATTCCAAACCCTAAACCCCAGCCCTAAGAACTAGTAAGTTTGCGGGAGAAATTTTGCACATGAGGGTGGAGATGTGGATTCCTGCCAAATAGCTGGAAGCAACTACTTCAGGCCTACCAGGCCACGCGGTTTAGGTTTTAGGGTTCAGGGTTTAGGGTGCAGGGTCTAGGGCTCAGGATTCAGGGTTTCGGGTTTAGGGCTTAGGGTTCAGGGTTTAGGGTGGCCGTAGCACCAGACGTCGCTTCAAGCGCAGAGCTCAAGAACATAACTACGGCCACTGAACCCAGGGCATGGCCGAGGTTCAGCTTGACAATAGCCCTGGTTAGTGTACGCATAAACCCAACTATAAGACAGCCAAGTTCATAAGCCGGTTATAAGAAACTGGGTTACAATTACCCGGCACCTCCAAGTAGATTGCCCTCATCTTATGATCTTATGGAGAGTCGAGAGTGGGAGTGGCTGCTCAAGAGCCCATCTATCTGTCCTCAAAGCCGGACCAGACAAGCCTCAAATCTTTCAAGAAGCTAGGGTAAGTAGCCGAGACAATTCCATCAACAGATGCCTCCAACTTTGTTGCCAAAACTTGGGCTTTTTTGTCAAGACTTGGGTTCTCTGGCCACAAGCCCAGTAGGGAATGACGGAAGATGGGATGTTTGCGGTTTAGGGCTTGGGGGAGATGTTGGGATACTTACATAGCTATATATAAGGACTATTATAGGGGGTCTGTTCCTCCATTCAGTAAGCCTCTCAAGCTGTAACCAAACCCAGCAAGTATAAACATAAATATCACACGTCCCCTCAAGCCCCATTTTCCATTTGCCTTTTCCATTACAGTAGGTTTACCACCATTCCCATATACATCTCTATATAATCCTTCCCTATATATCCCTATATGAGCCATAGTCTAAACTCCTAGTATCCCCCTTAATATCCCGTATACTACTCCCCTGTATAATCCCCAATATAACCCCCCTCTAAGGAGTTTAGACTATAGCTCATATATCCCTATATAGCCCACTGGCAAGTAAATCCCAAACTCGAGCCCTG